TCAATAAACAAAACCTGAATCAAAATTCTGTTCCGCTATCTTGGTCAAACAGCCTTAAAAAGTTTCCATAAATTTCCCCTATATTTTTTGGCAATGTATATTAGCTAGCTCATACAGTTTCTTCTGGGAGTAACTCTTCTTTTTCCTGATTTGATTCTGCCTCTTATCCCCTGGGTTATGTTGACTGTGGATTCTGGTTACTGGCAGACCAACAGTGTTGTGTGGGACAGGGTCTGGGTCTCAGTTTTGTACCTTGATGTTGTCAGTACCCCTGAGCTGATCACACTCAGGGAGCCTGTTTCATTCATTAAACTTACAAGGAAGTGGAATTTTCACACTAAAAACCCACCTTGCTAATTTTTTATGAGACATGTAACCATCCAGAAGACTGGACACTTTACCTGACAAGGGAATTCTTCCCTTCTTCTGAAAGGAGAACTTCAAGGGAAGCCAAATTATCAGAAGGTTGTTTGAGCTGAGAACAGACAGACCTCAGTTCAAATCCACCTCTACTAGCCATGTGAGCTTGGGCTTGTTGCTTAAGCCCTTGGAAGTGAGATGCACGTGAGTGATTGGAGCTAGCTCCAGGTAGGAGTGTTAAGAAAATTCAGCTGAGTAAAGATCTAATTGGCCTTATTCATGAATTGGGCAGCATCGCATCTGGCAAGTATCCATAGAAAGGAGCTCTGAGGAGGTGTACAAAGTGGAAGGTTTTTAAAGGCAGAAAGAGGGTGGGACCATAAAGTCATAAAGGAAAGAAAGGATTATCTCAGGCAAGGTCATCTTCCCTTGGGGGAAAAGGGGAAGTCTATCATGCAGATGAGATGACCTCACTGTGCTCATCAGGTAATTCCAGATTGATTGGTTAAAGGTTGCATTCCTGGGAGTGGCTGAAACTGTAGTAGAGTCTTGGTTTGCTGTCCTAGGGACAAGTGACTCCATTTTGTGCCTGTTGTTCCTTTTTCTAATAGAGGCATCCCCTACTGACACCCAGAGGTCCTGGAATCCATGAGGCACTGTCCTCAGACCTCAGAACTGATGTGGTTCAGAGATGGCTCTTTCCTATTATTTCCAAAGGGCAACGAGAGATAGCAGCTACCGTCTACTCAGCCTCAGGGGATGCATCACGAATGAAGATGAAGGGCCTTCATGCATGATGTATGGAGTAAATAACTCGAACGAGAACCCCCATCTCAGGCCAAGGAATCTGCTTAAGATGCATCAGGTGTCCTACTGTGTAGACTGTGTCACTGGCAGAGAAATTTCATTAGGGCTCTTGTTTTCTAACAGGGCAAAGTGTATATTCTTGGAGCAGTTGGAGTCAAATTATTCAGATTATGTGGCTGAGTGCCCATTAAATCAACCCCTGTGGAATTTGTGCTGGGTCTTACTTAGGAAGTTGCTCAGAGACACTGTATCCCTGGTTTCGTGGAGTCTGACTAGAGAATATAATTCACAGCCATTAGATCTAAGTGTGGGCCCAGAATCCATCCTGCCTGCCAAGCTGCGAGACACTGGTGTTTCGCCCTTCCTTCAAGGTGGGGTGGCTAACAACATCTCCACCCCACCCCTGAAAACCATCTTTCCAGCTCTCGTCCCGTGGGAAACAGTCAGTACTGCCTCCTGACCCACAAGCTGGTCAATGATTAGCCCCTGGGCTGGGTCAGGCTCTCCACGAACCCCAACAGGCATAGAAGTGACGGGACTGGGACACAACCTTTGAAAGAGGGAACCTTGCTCCTAAGGACAGTGGCATGGAAAGCAGTGTCTCACAGTGAGGCATGATATAGGCTTGGCAGGCCCATGCAGGAAGGAGAGTTGGTGCCAGTCAGAGAGGAGACCGTGCCTTGTGTCCTGTGGCATGATGTTACTGGTGGAAGCCCACCTGGGTGGAGGGAAGCAAGCTGCACCTGGAAAGTCTCAGTGTCTAGATGTGACACTCAGAGGCGTTCATTTTTGTTCTTCCTGACCATTGTATTTAGCTTGTGATGCCCATTTGTCAGCACCTCCCCTATGACACTACTGGTCTGTGGTAGATTCATTTGACCGGCTCCTCCCTGGAGGCCTACAGCCCTCCTCATGGAAATTTTTCTAAAAATAGCTGGCTTTGCTCTAAGTGGGTGCCACATCAGACCACTGCCCTGACAGAGGGAAAAAATGGAACAATCAAGGAACTATCTTTGCCTATATATTTAACCAGCTTATCAACTGTGACTCCGTATCAGGCTCTGGGCCAACAAGGCAATGGAGATCCAAATTAACAGCTCCCACAGCCCCTGCCAATGGCTGGCAGGAAATACTGTGCCTCCCAGAGGAGGATATAGCCTTTGGTATAAAACCCACAAAAGCCACAGATATCATCCTTGAATCACGTCATTCACAGGATGACGTGAATTAAGACCTACCTTTGTGGAACACCTTAACCTGCTTCAAACTGAAAAAGGAAGCATCTCAACCTCTCATTATATAAAAAGCTAATATGAGATGGAAAGGCAGGAGGGATAGAAGGTAAAACGAAAACAGAGACAAGGGAAATACACTTCACATTGTAGCAGCCAGTTAAATATTTGGGAAGAGTGATCTCTTAGCTGTTTGGGGAAAATCCCCCTGCCTGGTGGCCATGGGCCCTCATGGGCATGGGGCCAGGTGTCTTACTTTACCAGCCCTTCACTGTTGCTGAGATAGATGAACCCCCAGACCCATTCTTTCATCTTGTACTGGATAATGGCCGTTTGTGCCCATCTGTTCCCAATGAATAGAATGGGTCAAGGGGTGGACTCTAGCAGGAGACGCTGGGATAGTCACGGCAAGTAAGCTGGGGCAGGGGAGTTTGGCCTTTTGGGTGTTTGGAGTATTTCCTTCCTCTGTGAACACCTGGACTTGCTGTATAGGTGCTAGAAGAGCACTGTGCTCTCAGTCTCGTGAGGGTCCCTTCTTACGGAAAGTGTGTAAGAGTTACAAGCAGAGGGCATACACGTCTAAGATATTTCCTCAGTTTTTTTTTTTAATAAATTTATTTATTTTTGGCTGCTTTGGGTCTTCGTTGCTGCGCGTGGGCTTTCTCTAGTTGCGGCGAGCTGGGGCTACTCTTCGTTGCGGTGCACGGGCTTCTCATTGCAGTGGCTTCTCTTGTTGCGGAGCATGGGCTCTAGGCACGCAGGCTCAGTAGTTGTGGCTCGCGGGCTCTAGAGCACAGGCTCAGTAGTTGTGGCGCACGGGCTTAGCTGCTCCACGGCATGTGGGATCTTCCCAGACCAGGACTCAAACCCGTGTTCCCTGCATTGGCAGGCGGATTCTTTAACCACTGCACCACCAGAGAAGTCCCCTTTCTTCAGTTTTTGTATTTTGCTCTGTGTCATCAGAATTTGTACACTGTTTCTAGTTTAGCATATTTCTTCTAAAACTATAAGAATCCCATCTTTCAATGCCCCAAATGAGAAAGGAACCATTGTATTGAATGTCCTTTCCGCTAACTGTCCAGGTGTAAGAGAGAGAGAAGCAGGTTTGGGAAAGAGGAATGACAAGCTCATGCTCATGGAACTTGACCAGGGAGGAGCCTCTCTTTTTAGTCATTGCTTGGACACATGAATAGTGTGTGATGAAAAAGGCCTTATCTGTGAAGAGCCAAGAGGTGAGAGCAGGCAAAATTGTGAGAAGAAAATAAGGGGACTGTTGAACATCCCTTCTGACGAGGTCTGCCTCTTACAGTTCTGAATGTTTCACTCACCTCTTGTAAAAATATCCTCTTCATTATATCAGAGTATGGCAAGGAGAAGGGACTCTCTACCACTCAGACCAAGAATTCCCCTGAAACAGGAGTGGCCCCAGAGAACTGAAGCCAGAAACAGGTAACGGGTTGCCTCTGAGGAGTGGGACAGGGATGGGAGAGGTGGAGCAGCCTCCTCATTATAAATCCTTCTAAGTGCTTCTGTTTTGTTTTGATTGGAAGGGGGGAAAGATACAAGATACACACACACACACACACACACACACACACACATTGCTATATATATATAGCAACGTGCAGGCCTTTTTGTTTGTTTGCAGTTTCACATATTTATTTTTGGCAGGAAGGAAATCATTGCAAACCTCTTGACTGACAATGTTCGCCCCCTGGAAACGTGCACATTCCACATGTAGTATTTCCCCAGTGATGCTGGATTGTTTATCACATTCAAATGTCCAACAGAAAACCACGACTACCCAGACACCAGCATCTCCACCACTTGGTGGGTGGTGGTGTTAGTCTACAGGGAAGCTCCCTGGAGAATGGAACAGGAACAGACACTATCAAATCTACAGTAAAATAGGAACAGAGGCAACCACTTGATTTTGCACAGGTAAAGGCAAGCACTTCAAACCATCCACTCTTCTTGAACCCGGGCATGCCAGCTGTCCATCACAGCACCTTTAAAAGCAGAGGCACAAATGTCACAAGTGTTTGACCATAGGGCTGTGTGGTTCTGGATTTCTTGAGAAAACCATCTTTAATATACAGCGTTGTAAAATGTTGCCAAGTTATAGATTTACAGATTTCCTTTTTTATACAAGTTCAAATGCTGCAACTGTGACAAGTCTGTGTCATTATATATATATATATTCCTTGCCTCGCTCTGCTCTGGACCTAGCACCCCGCCCTGGCTCAGTTCCAGGCCTCACTGTACCACCCCAGTGAGATCGTCTCCTCAGGAAACAGGCCACAGGGAGTCAAGTGACACGCCAAGGTCACACAGCTGGATGGGGCACAGCCAGGACCCATGAAGTCCTCCAGCTCTTGTTCTTTCCCTGGGGGCTCATCCCAACCCACCCAGCCTCCCAACCGCCCAGCCTGTGGCTCTCAGCCAAATTCCACGTGAAAAGAGCGCTTGGTTTCTGGGGGCCAGGATCGCTGCTGACTGCCCCTCCTTCAGGGCAGGAGCAGGGGAGCAACACAGGGTCTCCCGGCCTGGAGGAGGGGAGCAGTGTGTCCAGACAGCCCTGAGATGGGACCTGTCACAGCGATGACACCGGCCAGCCTGATGGTGCCAGCCTCTCTGCCAAACACCTCACCTGCATTCACTCATTTAATCCCCATCAATATTTATTTATGAGGTAGGTACTATTACCCAACGTTTTATAGATGAGGAAACCAGTTAACTTTCAGAGCCAGGACTGAATCTAGACCTTTGGGTTCTAAGGGTTCATTTCAAGACACACAGCCTATTAAATCCTCGTTTGAGAGATCAGGGCACACGAAGATGTCAAGGCTCTAAGGTGCAGCGTAGGGAATGTTTTGGAACAAGTTTGGCTCCTCCTGGATGTGTTGTGCCTCCTGGCTTCTCTCTAGGCAACAAGAGAGGAGGGGGAGGAGAGAGGAGAGGGAGCAGGAAAGGGGGGAAGGAGGGGAGGAAGAGGTTAGAAGTGGGCAGAGGCAGAGAAGCAGGTACAGTCCCGTCTGCCCTTCACTGGGGCTTGATGAGGCCCCCTGCCAGGGCAGCTGCAAGCCCATCCCTGTGGAGGCTGCCCATGGTGGCAGGTGTTCTGCTCAGGATAAATCAGATGATGCCACAAACGTTTAGTTTATAATCAAGGCAGCACACAAGCCTCCAAAAGAGTGAGTGGGGCACAGTGTGGATCTCCACCCAAAAGAGCAAATTGCAAAAAAAGCTGGTATAGTATAAGCCTCTTTTGTAAAATGAATAACCTAAAAGAGTATTCACTTACGAAAAATGTCTGGAGAAAAATTCCACAAGATCAGTGGTGGTCATATCTGGAAGGCTCAGATTAGAGGGATTTTTAACTTCCTGTGTTTTGTATATTTCTGTAATGTTTAAATGTTTGCTGATGCATGTGTAATACTTTGGTAATCAGAATGACAAAAAAAAATGTTTTTAAAGAGAAGGGGTACCCCCCCACCCTTCATCCATCATGGTTCCCAAACTTCCAAAACAACCAGCCTGTGCTGGTAACTCCGCCTCTGTGTTACCAGGAAGTGTTTATGCATCATAAAGGACTTTGTCCTGAGTGTGTATGATTAATTATTAAGGAGATGTTGTCAACCCTGTCAGATAAGTTTAATGTTTAGTTTGAGGACTGAAATGTTAAAGGCTTTGTCCATTGACTTTGCACGCTGTTGCTTAGGTGTCAGTTAAAAAGCGATGGAACTGGGCTTCCCTGGTGGCGCAGTGCTTGAGAGTCCGCCTGCCGATGCAGGAGACGCGGGTTCGTGCCCCGTTTCGGGAAGATCCCACATGCCGCGGAGCGGCTGGGCCCGTGAGCCATGGCCACTGAGCCTGCGCGTCTGGAGCCTGTGCTCCGCAAATGGGAGAGGCCACAACAGTGAGAGGCCCGCATAACGCAAGGAAAAAAAAAAAAAAAAAAAAAAAAAGCAATGGAACCAAAGGGCAAGCTGTGATTTTGTTTTGTTTTCAAGACCACTTAGACCTGAAACACTTTTACTATTTATGGCAGTACACTGCATTCCTTATCTTCAAGCTCAGGAAAATAGGTTGCCGTTATAATTACTGATCCAGTGAGGAAAGGGAGACCGTGTAAGATGCAAAACGAACGATAAAACACATGATCCAAAAAACTGAGTAGCACTGATGGCAGGTGGAAAAGGAGGCCCCAGGAGGGGATATGGGGAGAGTGAGAGTAATAAAGCTGAGCTTCCTGGAAGAGGTGGGCCTGTTTGGGAGCAGGAAAGAG